AATGGAACGTTACTTTTGAAACCTAGAATTTCTTCAATAGATTTAGTGGAGCTTGCTACTTATATCAAGCAAATAATATTAAAAAAAATAGAACCATATTCTCATTTGCCTAAAATAGTTTCTAAAATCATAAGATTTTAGCTTTTAAAAGTACTTTATTTACTCTGAGATATGAATGAATACCAAATTGAAGGGTTGTTTTTTTTTTTTGTTTTTTTTTTTTTTAAGAGAAAGGTCAAATAAATATATCCTGGAATAAAGAAAAGCTATTCCATAGGATCACTATAGAATATGTACACTCTATATTATTTCTGAAGCTAAGATTCTTTTTCTAAAGCCAAGATTCTTTTTCTGTGGTCTTCTTCTGAGAACTGGTACTCTGTGAGCTTCAACACTAGCACTTCAGGCTACATAACTCCATACTCCAGATGTGGCCTTACCAGGACAGAGTAGAGAAGGAGGAGAACCTCCCTCGACCTGCTGGTCACTCTTGTTAATACACACCAGGATACCATTTGCCTTCTTGGTCATGAGGGCACACTGCTGGCTCATGGTTAACTTACTGTCCATGAGGACTCCCAGGTCCTTCACCATGGAGCTGCTTTCCAATAGGTCAGCCTGTAGCCTGTACTGGCACATGGGGTTATTCCTCCCCATGTGCAGAACATGACACTTGTCCTTGAATTTCATTAGGTTCCCCTCTGCCCAGCTCTTCCCCCTAAGTCTCACCAAATGGCAGCACAGCTTCCTGGTATATCAGCCAGAACTCCAAATTTGTATCATCAGCGAGCTTGGTGAGGGTACGCTCAGAAAGTTCCTATTTTCCTTCAGTACTTTAGCTGTTCTGAAAAAAAAAAAAAAAGAAAAGAGCAACATTAATTCAACCCATAAACAATTCCTCTATTCCTTAATACTCACAGTTTTTTTATTTTCAGCTTACAATGCATGTTAGCTAGATATGAGTAGGCATACTGCTTTTATGGTTCTGATTTCTGATTGTCAACCAGAATGTATGCTATTAATTCTCTAATGAGCATAGTTTCATTGATTCAGAATTTGCTTACTATAAATATTCTATTATAAATGCTAACAGTAGACTGTATTTGAGAATACTTCTTTCAGGTAACAAAATCATTAGGATATTTTCAGAGAGCCAACACACAAGAGGCAAAATCATAATATGAAGCAAATTCAGGTTTTTGTTTAAAAATGTTTATATAAAAAGATATTTTTATAGCTATTTTACTGGGCTCCCTAGAAAACTTATTCCTTTCCAGTCCTTTCTGGACAGCAAAGTAGAGGCCTTATGCACTTAATGAGTATTGCAAATCCTGTAGTTCTAAGTCCAGAGCTAAACATCTTTTCCTGCTGGCTATCTCCAAGCATTCATATATGTTGACTGTTGGCACCATTTCTTCAAATGATGGACCATGATGAGCTAAGACAGGTTTTTAGGTAACCACATCGCATATTATGCTGACAAGCTGAAATGAGTTACATGAGCTGTATCTTGTGCAGCCATCAGGGAATAGATGTTTTTTAATGATCCTTATTATTGACATCTGTAGGGGAAGCAGCCACAATTCTCCATGGAGTACACTTCCATTAATCATTCTGGAGGTCAAAAGGTATAGATTGTTGCAGCAATATTTGCAGGAGATGCATGAGAATTTTAAAAGGAGTGATTCAAGTGTCTGGCATTATGTATGAATGTAGAAACAATGAGGATACTAAAATCAGTTACTTTGATCCTTATTGATGAAAGACAGGCATGCCCTTCCACCTTGGAGCATGGTGCCACTTCAGCATCGCCTTCCCCATAGTTCTCCCTAATATGAATATCAATGCAATGTTGACTAGCTTGTGCTTTATATTGCTTTCTAATTTGATCAGAGAACTGGACCAGGACGCACTTTGCCATGATTGAGTAGAAGTCTCTGTCACAACTATAAAACAGCATTTTTAAAAGTTTTTAAAAACAAGTATATTGCAAAAACCTCTCTCAGAGCCTCGGGTCCATTTATTTTGTAGGCTTGTAGAGCATCATTATCATAGTCTCACTAATTCTAATGGTATTGAATATGTCTGCTTTTAGGCCAATTTTTTTGCTATAATTTTTTGTATATTGGAATTAGGTATTTGATCTGGTGTTAAGTAAGAGAGAAATTTTGCACCTTGCTGTTCTTTAATGAAGGCTTCAGGGTGAACTTCCCTAAGGGGTGGTTGACAGACTATGCATTACTTAGTTCATTTGAACTATTCACTTGCTTTTAGAAGTATTGCATAGGCAACACTTGTCAAATAAGCCTACGTGATCCTCTGACACTAGGGGTCATAGAGGTAGGAAGGATGTGTTAGCAGACAGAGAACAGTTTCTTAGCTTCAGTGTGATATCTGGGTCTGTAAAACCATTAGATGAATTGCTGAGTCTGACACTGCAGTAAGAACCTTAGAGACCTTGAAAGTGTGGTTTTGCTAAATCTAAGGAAAACATCTCATGGATTTTCAAAAAATCCTGAAAGATCTAGGTTCAAGTGACTTTCATTGATAGTTTTCAGATGATTCTCTTATGTCCTTTCCTACATAAAATCCCATGCAGGTATTTCTAAAGGAAATACTTAGTTATTGTGAAAATTTGGTCTGAGGTTTAAATTTTGAATGACTGATTTTCCATTCATTTATGTCATGTTTTCTCTTAAGGTAATTCTGTTGATTAGGGAAGAGTTACTTGTAAGTCACAGTTGTTAAGGGCACAGGTGTCACCATAAGAGTTCAGAGAGACCTTATGTCACTATAAATGACCTTTTAAGAGGTTTCAGGTCCATTCTGGAAATCATTGCAACACTCTACCTGTCATGGGGCTGTGCCATACACACGTCCCAGGCTTAACTGAGTGGAATTCCATTTGAAATTGCATGCGTGTAATCATTAACCTGCAGGGATGGTTATCAAGGGTTACATATCCTTGTGAACATGTATAAGCCTATTAGATCAGAGTAGATCTATGGTTTTGGAAATGACCTTCTAGATCACTTCCTGAGCTGACAAAATTCAGCCTGGCTGGGTGGAACCAGACCAGCTTAGAGCAGCCAAGGCTCTTGTCCTCTTCTCTTTTTCTTTTCTCTCTTATGTATATAAAATACAGCAGCTGCCCTTCATGCGTTTATACAAACAGCTAGCTTTGCAGTACTATATATGATAAAAATGTAGTGTGCAAAATTCACATCTAGTGACAGTTCCTCTAGTCTTTATTATTCATTTGTAAAAACAATTCAGGAGACTTAAACACGGACAAAAAAATTCTCTTCAAGAGGCATGCAATATTATTTAGCTTCACCTAGAAGCTTTATCATTCTAAAAAAAAACCACCCTACACTCCGTTTAACTGTTTTTAGTGAGTAGAGTTTGCCGTGCCTATTATTTAAAACACTGATTCTTGTTCCTTCTCTTCATACAGCTTCAGAATCTTTCACAGACTGTAAACTTCCCTGTCATAAGTTCACAGATAATTCATCTCAAATTTTAATGAATGCTGCTGTCATTTAGAAAAGATTAGACGACCATCTGCAGGAATATCTGTGGTAAATAGTTGCATGGCAAGGAAATAGTCTAGATGTCCTTGTGAATCCTGCTTTCCACAGTTACCTTGACTTACTTTTCAGTGTTTCTAGAACAAAAAAGAAAGAGAATGAACTTATTGAATCAAGAATAGCTCAGAAAATTACAGTTTATCCTTAGTCATTTTCTCTTGAGTTGTAAATATATAGAGCAATAAAGATGCACATACTAGCTCATGTGTAATATATAGGTAGCTTGCTGCAGTGTTCAGTGGAAAGAGATGGTTTATATAAAAATGGTACTACTCGGAAATAACTATGGCACTGGATAGCTGTATCAATAATTCAATTCATTAAATACATGACAAAAACAAAATCCTTAATCCAGATGTAAAATAGTAAGAAATGTAAAAAAGCAATGAAGATATCAAATTATTATTATGATACTGCGATTTAAATTTTTAAAGGCTACAAATGAATAAGTCATTATAGTAGAAACATTAAAATGATGAGAATACTACCGGAGAATGTATTAAAGGACTTTCATTTATAAAAGCAAAAATAAATAAAGGTAATCCCCTGTGTTTTTATTCTTTAATGTGCTATTACATCCATGAATCTCCTGAGAGAACAATAGCAAATATGAGAGAATAATATACTGCTGAATTTAGATTTTAATGTTAAACTCGATAATGTAAATTTCTTTTATCAGTTTCATTTTTATTTGAATACAAACATTTTGGGATGGATTGCTATGTAAAAATTTGAATGGTAAAAGTGTGAACTATAGAGCATCTTCTGCATACTGGCCATGATAATTAGAGAATATGTCAGATTTAATAGATATATAAATGAGTATAGCTGTAGTTTGGGCTTTCATTCTCCCCACCTTTTCTTCTTTGCCTAGTTATAATTCTGCAAAGCACATATGAAAACAAACTACCTGCTGTGGTGACATTTTACATTAATTTTGAACAGGTATGAGTCACTTCACTAGATTCACATGCTCAGTTTCTCCTGCCTAGGTGTAAGACAATGAGGAATTGATCCCAGGAATCAAGTAATAGAGTTTGCACAATGTCAAAATTCTGTGCACATGCAAAGTGAATAAATCTTGCCTCTTTATGATATTCTTCACTGACCAAATCTGTAACCGTGAATAAACAGGTTTATATCCCACTGAAGATAATGACTGGCCAAGGTAGTCAATGCAGAAATGCACAGAGAGACAGCAGATTGCATTGTCTGGGAAAGTCTAGCTCATCACGATTTGTGCTATAATTTATATTTTAATTCAGTAATGTTTCATTTCTTGTGTCATTAAAAAAAGCAGCAGTAGTATTATAGAATCATAGAATGGTTTGAGTTGGAAGGGACCTTAAATATACCTAATTCCAACTCCTGTGCTGTGGGCAGATCAAGGTGATCACAGCCCCATCGAACATGGCCTTGAACACTTCTGGGCATGAGGCATCCACAATTTCTCTGGGTAACCTGTGCCAGTTCCTCACTATCCTCACAGTAAAGAATTTCTTCCTGATTTCTTATCTAAATCTACCCTCTTTCAGTTTAAAACCATTGCACCTTTTCCTCTCGCTGTACTCCTTGATAAATAGTGCCACCCCATCTTTTGTGTAGGTCCTTTTTAAGTACTGGAAGGCTGCTATAACGTCTTGCTGGAGCCTTCTCTTCTCAAGGCTAAACAACCCCAAATATCTTGCCCTGTCCTCACAGGGCAGGTGCTTCAGACCCCTGATCATCTTCATGGCCCTCCTCTGGACCCACTTGAGCAGCTCTATGTCTTTCTTATGCTGGGTGCCCCACAGCTCAATGCAGTACTCCAGGTGGGGTCTTATAAGAGTGGAGTAGAATGGGAGAATCACCTCCCTCAACGTGCTGGCCACGCTTGCCTTGATGCAGCCCAGGGTGCTATTGGCTTTCTGGGCTGCAAACACACATTGCTGGTTGATAGTCATTTTTTCATCCATCATTACCCCCAAATCCTTCTGCTCAGGGATGCTCTTAATCCGTTCTCCACCCAGCCTATATTTGTGCTTGGAATTGCCCTGACCCATGTGCAGGTTCTTGCACTTGGCCCTGTTGAACTTCATGAAGTTCACGTGGGCCTACCCTTCAAGCCTGTCAAGGTCCCTCTGGATAGTATCCCACCCCTCCAGTGTGTTGACTGCACCACACAGCTTGGTGTTGTCATCAAACATGCTGAGAGTGCTCTCAATCCCACTGTCCATGTTGCTGACAAAGATGATGGTAAGCAGCACTGGACTGTTAATCCAACAGTATTTCCTCAGAGCAAATGATTATCCCTGTAGACAAACTAATTACCTATGTACAACAGGTCTTCAGCATATATAATTATTTTTCCAATTTTTTTTTTATGAAATAAAAGAGTGCATACTTACACGTATTAGTATATCTCTGTGGATAAAAGGAAATCTGGTATCTTAATTTCCTACAAATGTCAACTGTCTTTTTCCATTACTTGATAAATGCAGGAGTGTATTGCAATAAAAAAAAGATTACTTTGTTAGTACAAATAATATTGTCTTTCATATTTCAACTGCTATTAAAACCCTTTCTGTGTTTTCATGAGTTATAGGCTATCTTGGTGAGGCCGCATCTGGAATATTGCGTCCAGTTCTGGGCCCCTCAGTTCAAGAAGGACAGGGACCTGCTGGAGAGAGTCCAGCATAGGGCTACAAAGATGATTAAGGGAGTGGAGCATCTCCCTTATGAGGAAAGGCTGAGGGAGCTGGGTCTCTTTAGCCTGGAGAAGAGGAGACTGAGGTGTGACCTCATCAATGTTTACAAATATGTAAGGGGTGAGTGTCAGGAAGATGGAATTAAGCTATTTTCAGTGATGATCTGTGATAGGACAAGGGGTAACGGGTGCAAATTGGAGCATTGGAGGTTCAAGGTGAATATTAGGAAAAATTTTTTTACTGTGAGGGTGACAAAGTACTGGAACAAGGTGCCCAGAGAGGTTGTGGAGTCTCCTTCACTGGAGACATTCAAAACCCGCCTGGATGCCTTCCTGTGTGATGTATTCTAGGTGATCCTGCTCTGGCAGGGGGGTTGGACTGGATGATCTTTCGAGGTCCCTTCCAACCTCTATGATTCTATGATTCTATGATTCTATGATCTTTCTTACTGTGTTCATGAATACAGCTCAGTTCAGATCTTAGTTCACTCTAATGCAAGAAATTATTCCATTCAATTTGATACTGGTCAAAGCTCATTTCTATGCTGTTCTGGAGTGCTGAAAGAAGAGGAATTTGTATGGGACTAGGATTTACGTAGGAAGTAGGCAAAGACTGTTTGAAGAACATTTTCCACGTTTGCTAAGAAGAGGTTCCCATGGTAATCTAATTCAGCTAATAGCTATGTTACCATTTTGGCAACTTGCCTGCCTGGTGAGGAAATATCATTTTAGGGGGTTCCAGTAGAAAGCCAGAGCTTAAATCTGTGCTGCAGAGTGATGATATACACTGATGCCCTGAAGCTCTGTGTTCTGCCAATACAGCATTTGAGAACAAGTGCTTCCTTGTGGGGCCTGGGTGCGGGCTGCAGTGAAGCAAGGCTGGGCACAGGGAAGGGAGTGCTTCTGGGATTTTCTCCTCATTTGCCACAGAGTGTACTGTAAGGGAGAAACAACTGCAGATCATGTTTTGTTTGGCTTGACTTCTGTTTTGTTTTATCTCCAGCAAAACTAAAGAAAAACTAAAATAAAACCAAAGAAAACCCCCTCTGTTCCTTGAATGTATTTTTTTTTATTTTTATATATGAGAGATAATTTTATAGTGAAAAAAAGAGAAAGTCCCAGCTTCTCAATTCAATGCAAAGTAGTGCTTCTAAGTCAACACACATTCTGCCATCTAGTGACCAGAAGAAATTGTACTGACCAGCTACAACTGTGATAAGAAACCCCAAGTGCTGCTACTGCTGTGTGTTGTGCTGCTATCTTTGTGGAAGGAACTGGAGAATTGGATGCAAAGAAATCAAATGTGCAGGAAATTTTTTTCAAGCTCCTGGAAGTCTGCAATTAGTCAGATCTATTGAAATCAATTAATAGCTCCCTCCAAAAAATTAATTTAATGAACTGGTTCTTTACATATTTCTGTAGATCTCTTCTTCCTTTCCTCTTCTGCACCCCCTCCTTTCCCTTAACCTGGGACTTATGTCAGCATTTTTCATAATTTCTGGGGAAAACGTTTGTGTGTTGGAACAGAGAAGATGCTATGCTACTGCACATGAGACAGTTTACATTAATACACATTCTGGCTGCAGGGCCTTTAATATTCATTCCATAGTCAAGAGTAATTGGAAACACTCATTTACAGTTCAGGAGTGGGTAGGAGAGTACTAAGTACACTGCTAGAGGGCTGTGGGTGAGAAAGGAAATTGCAGTCACTTTGGGGAATCAAATGCCTCTTCTTGCTTCTAAGGTTCTGATCAGCCTTCAGCAAGCTGCTCACCGTATTACCTTCCAGGTGGGTGGTCAGTACAAGCTGAGGATGCTCACCAGCTCTCTAAGGTTGTGTGACATTTTAAATGGCCTGAGGGGGTAACCCTAAAGGTCTCAGAATCACCCTTTTTGTTCTGTTTAGTACAACAGTTCATTCATGCTGCTGTCACCAACTACTATACTGAAAAAGCGTTTTTTATTTGACGCCAATATGTTCTATGCCTGTAACAGCTTATATCAGATCAATACATTTACACTGTGAAGTTCACATGAAATGTGACATAAAAGTATCTATAAGAGACAAATCAAAATGGTTTATAATGACACCTGTTGACTAGGATATATATGCAGGCTTACAAATATTACTAAACAGTCTAGGCATAAAATCTGTTTGACATACACTTTAATGATTATCCAGTTGTCAAAAGACTAGCCATTCATGAGTAGAACATTGCAAAAGGGCGTATTTTTCTTTTGTATTGCTCAGTCTTCCCAGTTTGCATTTTTATACTGTTAACAGATGTTTTTTCTTCTTTGTTCCTACAGAGAGCACATGGCACCTCTCTTCTCTCCTAAAAACGTACACCTACATTGGCCGTAAGATTTTAGCTTCTCATTTAAAAACTAAAAAGGTTGCTCAATAGGAATAAAAATTCCCATAACATAATATAAATCTAAAGGTACAGACAATGGGACTACAGATAAGAACTGGTGAAAATAATACTCAGTTGTAAACTTTGAAATTTTAGAAATGATTGTTGAGGTTTTTTTCACTCCTAGAAGGCATGGAACTATATTACATGTTTCAGAGTTATATGTGAAATGAAATTATAAATCACATCCATATTAAGATATATGCATCGCTAAAATACTTTCAAGTATGGATCCATTGTATACAGTTGAGGAGAGAAAGAGTATGCATCCTATTGGAGGAAACTGTTGTACTCCCATAGCCACCAAAGGACCAATGACAGCAGGATAAATTCTTTTATAAGATAACTAAACCTCAGATTTTCTACCAGAAATGGTTGGATTATGCTATGATTTGTTATATGTCATGATCTGGTTAAAATTATCTGTTCAAGGTTTCCCTAAATTATTTGTTATTTACATTTTGAGGTATTTCTTTGTGAGTTACATTCTCATACAGGTAGGTTATAGCATTAACAACATAATAAAAATCATTATGATCCTTCCATATGTCCAGGTCTAATTTAGGGGCACACTGATTTCTGGATCAGGCCACTACCTGTCTGCTGCTAAAAAGATTAATTGTCCCTCATTATTTAATGAAGCAATCTGTTTAAAATCAATGCTTGAGGTAAAAGCAGAGGACCACCCTGTCTCACACAAGGGAAAATTAGGAAAGGCATCACCAAAAAATTCTATTCAGAAACAGATGTATGCAAAAATACCTTCTTCTGGGTTGGAAAACTAATTTTTAGCAGCAAGAGCTAGGTAAGAAGAATGAGAAAAATTTCTTTACTCAGAGTCTCACTTCAAACATCCAATATTATATCCCAGACAACAAGTCTTGAATCATGCTGATTTCACCTTACTGTACACCTCTATGCCAGATACTGTCTAGGGTAAGAAGGTTCCTATCATCTTTCCTGCACAAACAGCTCCTTGAATCTACTGTGCCATTTAGTCATACTTTAGACTGACTTGGGTTAAAATGCTTTCCCAGCCCAGAAAGCATTTAAATACTTCTGTTCTGTGAAGTATTGAGGGGAAACAAATGCATAACTGGTTCATCTTCGACATTCATTATTTAGCTAGCATCTGAAAATGGAGAAAAGTTTTATTCTGTTTTGTATTTATTGTAAACTATAGCAATCACTTAAGTAAGATATTTTATTATAAAATGCTTCATAAAAATGCATTACTGTTGAGCTCCTTAGATTGAAGAATTTTGAGAGCACTGTTTGTACTTTTATGCAGAAACTGGACACTTCTGATCCCATTATGAAAATGTACTTGACCCTTATTTTTCTTTTCTTATGAGGCCTGAATTTTAATGAAGCCTTAAAGTCCCCACTCGTGACAGTACACTGCATTTCCTGTTACCACTTTTGTTCTCATGCGGCATTTGGTTAAATACTTCAGCTGAATATGAATATGAGAGCACTGCATAAGTCTGGCTCCATTTTTTGACAAAACTTCTAAAAATCTTTTTTTAGCTTTGTTCTGAAACATCTTTAATATGTCTTTATATATTTACTACATAAATGTTTAATGTATCACAGGGAGGTTAGTTGAAAAGTGCATCTCAAACACTATCAGCAATAGTTAGAGTGAATTGAATGTGTTGCTAAACAGAAAAATGAAAAAGTTGAGGCATGATTATGTCCTAGATCAACAAATCGTATTTTATTTTCCTTGGTGATGCTGATGAGTAACTCCATAGTTGTGAACGGAGCTACACTGGGTATTAACCACAATCCTGAGAACTGATCTTCCAGACTTTCCCTTGCCTCTTCACCAGAGGTCTCTGTCCTGCAGGACACTGCATGTGTCTGCACCCAAAGGATGCTGCCGGACTGAGACCAGAGCTTTCACCACCTCCCCTGTATGCCTCTGGAAAGTCTTCCTCTAGCAAAGATCTCCCATTATTGAACTCTGCTTGTAAATTAAAAAACAGAATTAAGTCTTCTGCAAGAATGGTGTCATGTCCTCTAAATTGCCTGACAAGCAAAGTAGCTCACAGGCAACAAACTCAGAGCAAGCACACCCTGCTTTCTCAGCCTCTTCAGAAGGAAAGCTCTATAAAGTCTCCTGTCCTTCACCATGTTGCTAATTACAGTTTCAATGGTCATCTCTACTGTAAAAGTGTTATTCTAGTCTTAATTTGCATTACAATATTGATTGTAAAACTTGAATTATAGTAAGAGATTTCCCACAGAATAAAAAGCTCTCTTAAATCAGCACTGTAGAAGAGGAGTACTTGGCAAAGATATATTCATAACATTTTATGACACATACATATATGTATAAATATACATATATGTGTATATATAGAGAGAATTAAATTCTATTTTATGTGTATTTCTGGGATGCATTAAAAATGTTGACTGCTTAATTATCAAAATATACTTTATTAATTAAATCTGACAATATATGAATGCAAACTGCATTGCTGTTCTCAAATGAATAATTAAATTGATATTTTAAGTGATGCCATTAATGAATATTTACAAAAAGAAACACTAATTTTGAGAAATATATTAATAATTTACTAGAAAGTAAAAACAACCCTCTCTCTGCTGATTGATCCCTTAAAAATATATTTACCTTTTATTATTTCTTTAAATAAAAATTTTGATATATTTACTTCAAATAATTATCAAAACAATGTGTTTGCAAATAGTATTTATTAGTAGCATTTACATCTTATATAATTTTGTACATCTTTTGAGTCAGGAAGGTTAAGTCTCATTATCTTCATGTCTTTACAAATTGGGGAGGATTTTGAATTTTGCATTTGCAAGATAACCTTCCAGCAGAAAGGTATTTTAAAATGTTTATGTTCCCGGTGCTTCAGATATGTTCTGCCTCATCAGAAGCTTCACGTGGTTGTAGTCGAGGTAGTTTCAATGTTAACCCATGGTTCTCAGCACACGCTCCCTAAATTAGAGTCCCCTAAGAAACAGAGTGCTTAGCACCAAGCTGCGGACAGCTGTGTGTGCCTGAGAAGAGCAGAGGGAACTGTGCTGAAGACACAGCAGTATCCCTCTAAGTACAAAGGTCCCTCCACGTTTAATCACAGAAAGGAAAAATGGAGCCTGAGGGAGAAGGCTGGGAAGATTGTGCAGGATGAGAGGGAAAACTATAGCAGTGATAGGATGGAAAATTAAACACTCTCCTCTTCCACACTCTAGGCCTTTATGTCATTGATTTTTATGTAGATTTCCCTATTAAAATCAATTAATTTCCTTATTCAAATCAACAGAGACTTTTTGTTAAATACTGGGGGCAAGGTATAATCTGTTGTCTTTGTAACTGAGAGGCTGCAGAAAGGAAACTTGTTCTGCTGGATTCAGCCTAGAAATTAAGCCGTTCATTGGCTAAATTGTTTTTATTTTGGATTGCCACCATTCCCAAAGATGACTCAACGATACTGAAGGCTTCATCAGCCTGAAAGACAAGTGCAGAAATAAAAGTCCTGTGGAGGAGCAGCAGGTTCTGCTGTAGAACAGCAATGTCTAACACTGTCACAATCATTTTCTGGTGTGGTTTGCACTGATTCAAAATACAGGAATAAAATGTCTGTATTTGAATAATTGTTTATTTCCTGTGTCATACAGCTGATTTATAGTATGTATCACTAGATTGAATGTTGGTTCATACAATAAAATCATGTTTGAAAACCTGCAGACACAAATTTAAGTATTTATTAAAAGCTGAGTGTAGCAAACTTGAGTTGATGTTAACTGCCATGATCATTTGCCTGACTCTTGCGAGCAACTTCCAGGTATGTTTAGGAACATATTGCATGAGACAGTATGTGACTTTTGAGAAATGTCTACACACAAGCTTTCATAAACCTTTATTCTGTCTTTAGAATTTGGAATGATGGGAGATCATACAATTAAAAGTCAGCGACCTCGATCTGTTCATGAGAAAAGGGTCCCTCAGGAACAAGCTGATGCTGCTAAATTTATGGCACAAACTGGTAATACATCAGTTACATTTTTCTATTTACTGTTGTTAATTTTAGCAAAACCACTGCATGTTTCCATAATCTTTTGCTGCATATTTGTCAGTTTTCTAAGCTGATACTTTTTTTGAATCATTTATTTTTTTTTCACCAGTTAAAGTCCATAAATAAAGTAGCTAAGAATTAGGTAGAACATACAAAAGCAGGCACTGTGAAGGTGGATACTGAATCATTTAGTGTTAAGCATGAATTTCTTTTAGTAGTAAAAGCAGTCTCACATGTACAAGACACAGAACAGCTTACTGTGACATATTACCTTTTTTTTTTCCCAAGATATTAAGAACATGCTTCAGACTTTCTTTATAAATAGACTGAGGTCTAATCCCAGCTTTAGGCCTTTATCAAATTAATTAATTACTAGGGAGACTTTAATGTGCACACATTCAGCATTTACTGTCTTTGGCCCAGTACAACACTCTATTCTCTAGTTTCTAGATTCCTAATTGCTAAATGAAATTGGCCGTAAGTAGTTTTTAATTGGATGTGCAAATTATCTAACAGTTTTTCATCTAAGACATATTTGCTAATTTTCTTTGAGCAACATCATCTTTAGATAAAGATACCAAAATGATATTACAAACATGGAGCTGAAGTAATTAAAAAAAAAAAAAGCCTGTTTACCAACAGTTACCACAGGTGCCTTTGAAGTCAATGTTGAAATTTCAGTGTTGAGCTGAATTAAACTCTCATACACCAAAACTACTGCCCATTTTGACATCAGTAGTGATCTGTGTATCTGTTGGTAAAATCTAGCTCTTTAACAGTTCCCTACACACTCCATTCCAGGAAGTTACTGCGTTGAAAATCTCGTGCCTCATAATTATTGTATGGATTTGAAAGAACTTACTCTGTATTCCATAGTTACTAACCTAGAAAATATGCCTGCATCAGTCATACATAATGCTTCCAGTTTATATTCACTTTAGTAAAAGAGCTATAATTGCTTCTGGTTATGTTGCATGTTGACTTCCTTAGTAGTAGGGTGCTTTACTTAACAGGTTTGCAGAAATCAACATATTAAGTAATTTAAATACATGTATAGCCAATCAGTGCAGATCTATTTGGTAAAGTATTTAGAAGGGGAAAAAGTCTATTTCCCTCTTATTAATCTGTAGGACTACTTTTATGTCTAACTCTCAGTTGATATTACCGTTAGTAAATGTAGTGGAAGAAGGGAGCCTAGAATCCTCTTGGTCTCCATGAAGTCTTCTGTTTAGGCAAATAGAGCTTACTACTTACATACCTAGCTTAGATTTAGAATGTTAGTTGCTTACTACATAGAATAACACCTTTGCTTTTATGCTGCTTCTTCAATTCATACAATTATTCCAAAAATTAAGTCAGATATCTGCTTTATTTTCTCATATAAGTCCCTAAAAATTTCATATTACCAGGTAAAACTGGTATTTGATAATTTCTAGTCATGCACTGCAGTGCATTTGTTATGGGTGTTAGAGAACTGCATTATAAATGCAGCACTTACACCATCACCTTCTGATAGATTGTGTGTGTGGAGTGGGAGATGAAAGTTTAAAATTATCCAGACTTGGTTTTCCAGGTCCTGTTCTGAAAGCATGTGAGATGTATTAGCAAAGCAAATAAATTTACATGCCCAGCCTCAAGGATACTTATATTTTACATACTGTAGGTTAACACATTTGATGTAATACTGTGCTCTTTTTGGACATACTAATTTTCATCTCTTCATTTTGATTTTCCTTTGTAGTGATCATTGCATATTTTCTTCACCTCTAACACATTCATTTTCTTGTGATATAATTAATGTGATATCTTCTTTAAACTGATTCATAAGGTATTTTTCTAATGTATCTATCTCATGAATTTACCCATGTACTAAGAAGTCTAATAGCCTTTAATGTAAATGGATACTGAGTTTATGAGGTTTTTTTTTATATTTTAAGCCTTTTTAATAATTTATCATGTGTAATAAAAGAGATGCAAAAGTGCAACAAAATTTTTATATGGTTTAGAAAGGCAGAGCAATAGGAATAGTCAATTGTCCTGGAAAAGATTTATGAAAAGCATTTAATACTGTTAGAATAGTGGACTTAATCCACTGAATTTTGCTGGGAATGGAAGAGTTTTTAAATGTGGTTTTAAAATGTGCATTTTCATGTTTATTTGTGTGTGATATGAGGCAGTGAAACATTTTATTAAAAAAAAAAAATACTGTGTGAATAATTTATTGTCCTATATTTGTCATTTTATGTGTTTGGACTGATCCTTCCCTTAGGTGTTATGGGATTTAGAGAGTATAATACAGGTAAGTGTTACAAATATCAATGAGGCCTTCCATACAGTAAGTTATGTTTCCTCTTACATGTCAAGCAGCAGGGGAGAGTAGGGGCTTGGTTGCTTGCCAATAGTTAATTTGAGATTGTAGGTTTACTGCAATAGATATGAAAATTTAAGAGTTCTCAAGTAAGAGAAAGCTAGAAGGAAAATAAAAAGTAGCCCTTTTGAAATTTTCGTTTCAGAAAAGAAAAAAAAATGGAAAAGAGATAAAGAAAACAATAGAATACGTATTTGTAGATCACATAGGCAACTTAGGCTTATTCTAGAAAACAAAGCATTTATTTACTTAAATTAAAAATGGGTAACTACAGAATATATCTTTGAAGATCTTTCCCTCCTATAAAATATATTTAAATAAGTAATAATCATCCTGACAGCACTACAAAGTACTCTGAAAAGTTAATAATTTTGAAAATATCACAATGCATTCTGCAAAAGGAAGCAAACCAGCTGGTGAGATAAATTTGTTCTTTATTTTCTATTATTTCCCTCTTTTTGCACCATTCTTCATGTTAGTGTAGAGGATCTTGCTCCAGCAAATGTTTAAAACTTCTATCCTTTACATACGTTGAAGTATATTGCTGGATTCTGCCTTTTGTGAATGGACAGCACATATATGCTCAGAACTTCTAATAATTAATATTAATTTCAAAATTCACTCGATGCAAACACACTTAGTATCACGTTACTGGTATTTTTCAACGTATTCCAAGGGTTAGCAACTTTTTGTCACTTTAAGATATCCAAAATTTTTAATTTTAATTACTTCATTTTCGTCTTTTAATATCTATGTGCTGTTACCATGTCTGTGTTGGATAATTTACTCAGAGTATATATGACTGTTTTACACAATGAGAAAAATAGCTTTGATTTTTTTCTGCTGTTTAATCTTTCATCTAAACCATTTTAACAAAGGCAAAGTCAAAGTTCAAACATGTAGGAAAAGGCAAAAAATATTAGCCTTGAAACCTGTAGTAATACAAGCACTTTTACCACGTACATAGGTTTTATAGTACATGTTCTATAAATGTTAGTCTACCTACATATCAGCTATATTTACGATATTATCTCATTTACCCTGAACCCAGGCCGTGTAACAACCTAATCAAAATGCTAAACTCATATCAGAAAAATTATTAAAACAATAATCAATGATTAAATTTCTTTTTTTTTCATCTAACAAGTGAAGAAATCTCATTGTTTTGTCCTTATCCATAGAAATTATTAGAATTGCATATCATTTTATTAAAAGCAGAAGGATTTATGTGCAAAATTTAAAGCATTCTGGATAAGAAGTTTTGTGGGATTTTTTTTGTTTTGTTTTGGTTTTTTGTTTTTTAGCATTTAATAACCTTAGAATTGCTTCTTAGAAGGCTAGCAGAGACAAACATTTTGCAGAGGTTTCATGCTTGGCCTCTCGAAGCAAACAAACAAAAAAAGAGCTCTGATAGACACATGCTACAAGAGCACAATTTCAAGAAATAGTATATCTTTTACTGCATTCTTGGAAGATAGCACCAGTCTTCCTGGTTTGCACACATACCTTTGACTGTGACCAATATTTGGAAGACTGCAGGGGTATTGAGATAGCTGAAAATTTAAGCAAGCGATTCAAGACTCTAGGTTGTATCTTAACACTGATTTTAAAGCAGAAAATCCCATTTGTTTCAAAAAGGGCTTAGGTTTAAAAATTAAGGGGGTAATGCAGGCTACAGTATGCCATTTTATACTGATTTTTAGTGGAAGAAGGTAATCATGAGTCCACAGTTATTTACTCAATTTGCTCACTGAGGTATATTCACATAATTGTTGTATTTACTTACTGAGAATACTCAAGGGATTGAGTTTTCTAAACATCAGTGCTTTTGGGAAAGGAATTCCAGAACTGTGTGTATGGCTGTTCGTGGAAACTAAATTTAAGCACATTCTTCCCTGAACATCCAAGCAAGATTTTATGCACTACTTGCTTTAAAAAAAAAATAGAAATAATATAATATTCTATCTCTCAACAATAAAAAGAAATACACTATTGAAATGTATGGTATGAATAAATCACATCGGACAATTCTGAATATAGTGTAATGTACGATGAGCAGTAATGAGGTCAAGTGCATCCAAGAGTTTAGCACACCTGTAGGTCAAAAACAAGGAGCAGATCTGTGCAGTAAATGATCAAACCAAAGTTCCCATCCTGCTGTTCAGATTAAAATTTGGTAAGCAAAGTGCTTCTCTTTGCCAGGGAACTTCTCTCAAATGCTAATGACTCTCCTCTGCTGAAGAAATGATAAGAAATTATGGGGTTGGTTTGGGTTTGTATTTTAATCAGAATTCCATTACTGGTAGAGTTCCTTAAATTATTACCTAGCTTTCATTCTAGAGTGATAATAATCAAAGATAGATCCTTTGCTATTATGAAAAAAGAATTGTGTGTTCGTTTCACATCCTGAGGGCAGTGTTGTCTTTAAAGTGTTGAAGGGCAGTAGTTCTCATAAAGTTGTAAATATGCTAAGTGATCAAAGTGTCTCCTTCTAACAGGTGTTATGTGACGGCAGCATTGTAGGTGTCTTTATTTTCTATTCATTGCACATTTTCACAGCTGCTTTCCTCCATGACTTTTCAATATTTATTTTGGTGTGGTACTTTTTTCTTTGATTTATAAGAGCAGACGGTAATGAGCTTCTGCAAGAATATGTTGTATTAATACTTATGTCTATATTCATGTTTGTTTGTTGTCTTGAATACAGGTGAATCTGGTGTTGAAGAGTGGGCCCAGTGGAGTACGTGTTCAGTTACTTGTGGTCAAGGGTCGCAGGTGCGAACCAGAACTTGTGTATCACCTTACGGGACACACTGCAGCGGCCCTTTAAGAGAATCAAGGGTTTGCAATAACACTGCCCTCTGTCCAGGTAGTGTTAGCAGCCAATCAATAAAATTGTGGATGTTTTTGAACTGTATAATTATAAGAATTTGAAACTGTATATATTTTTTAATTATTTTTTTTTTAACATGAATTTCATAGGAGCATTTCAGTTAGAGCAGAGAAGTGTAGTTCTATTTAGCTGTGAAGTTTTTCATGGGGATAATTATTTTTATTTTCAGAACAGTCAAGATATGGAACAAGAGTCCCTTTTTTTCTGACAGTTTCAGAGTTTTTTAAACAGCCTGTATTCTCTGTTTTTCACTCAGAAAAGAGAAGGTATACCATGAGTACAAAATACAAACTGGAGAAGAAATCCAGATCATCAATACATTAAGGAGTAGAGACTGATTAACAAAATGGGTTAAGTTACCATATATTATTCAACACTGCAATTGTTTCGCCATTTAGAATACTGTTTTCTAGGCAGTGGGCCAGAAAATATTCATTGCACAGTAATGTCTTCATGGACTTCCCTTTACGTTGTTCTGACAAGAAAGGCCAACAGCTGCCTGTCAGAAGAAGAAAGATCAGACAAAAAGTAACTCTTTTACATCTGACACAAGATAAAGGTAGTCAGTATCTTGCATCACAGTTTTCCTATTCCTTTTGTCTCAGAGATCTGGACATAGTTGGAGTTCAGCAGTAGTTATACACTAAGGAGAAGAGACAGGCAGGTTTGAGCTAGTTGCTGAAAGGGCACAGCTCATTTCTTTAGGCTGTCTGTGGATCTGATTAATCTGGGATGGGAAGCAAAAAGGAAGGCCTGTGTTCTGTGACTACATTCATTTTCCTCTGCCGTGTCTGAAAAGCAAAAAATTTATATGCCTACTGGCAGATTCACCAGTTCCTCAGGCCTTTGTAACATTTGATGCCAAGAGGATGTTGAGCCTTCTTCAGCTTCTGGGGAAGCTCACTCCATTTTGGGAGTGAACTGAACTGTCATACACAGGGAATCCCCTGGACTTTATCTCAATGAGTAGTAACATGTAGAATGAAACGGTCATATTTTTACTGTGTCTTGGAAAATATTCAACAAGAAGCGCATATGTAATCCCATGAGAGTTTGCATATCAGCATTATAAGCATTTAGGAAATCTCTGTAATGGAAAGCAACTTTTAAAAGATTACATCTAGATAAACCATCACTGTACTAAGAACTGTTGTCAGCACCTAATGCTTTACACTATGCTTTAGGTAAGTAATTCACATGGCGTTTTCTAATACTTGAGGGTAGAAACCCCTAGGCAGGGATGAATTTGATCACTTCAAGTGTTTCCTTAGAAAAATGGCAGCTATTACTAAAAAGGTTAGCCTAGCTTAGCGTTTGCCAGAGGTGGGGTACATTACAGAAAGACTCTCAACTTTAAAGTATGAAAATAAGAAGTGGAAAAAAAGAACTATGAAAGAAAAGAACAAACATTCCAAACAATCAGAGATACATTTAAAGGTTCCTTTGAACCTCCATGAAGTATAAACATGAAAACACAAAATCCTGCACTTATAATGAGATGCAGTTCTATTTGCTTTCTTGATCATTTAGTATTACCTAAGAAGAAAAAACGCATTAAAATCACCTAATTTTAGAGTTTTATCTTCATTATGTCTAACAAGGGATGAGAACATTTCATATAAAATGACAAAAAAAATTCCCACATTTAATGCAAAAGCCAAGGTACTTAATTTGCCATCGAAGTAAACTAGAGAAAAGTTAATTCTTTAAAATCACATTGTCTAGCAAACTTCTAAACAATGCTCATACAAAAATATTTCTCTGTACTTCTCAGGTTACAAAGACTAAGAGTAAGGAAAACTTAGTTTATAATTAGAAAGAAACACAGCAGAAGTAGAGTAGCTGCATGGTTTAAACGTGAAGGTTAAAAGGCAGCTGCCACAAAGTTTGCCGAGTTTATGTATTACAAATAGAAGAAAGATTTTTGACTGATTAATTTAAGCTATACTAAAGGAAACTATGGCACTTACGTGAGTTTAAATTTGTGCATACAAACCCTCTAATTTAATTTTTAAAAAACTCTTTAATATAGCATCCCTTAGATGCAGTTATTCAGCCATATTAAACTATGATGTCATATCATAAAATCATAGAATCAGAATAGTTTGGGTTGGAATGGACCTTTAAAGGTCCAACCACCCTGCAATGAACAGGGACATCCTGAACTAGATCACATTGCTCAGAGCCCTGTCCAGGCTGGCCTTGAATCTTTTCAGGGATGAGGCTTCCACCACAGAATCACAGAATGGTAGGGATTGGAAGAGGCCTCTGGAGATCATCTTGTCCAACCTGACTGCTCAAGCAGGTTCACCTAGAGCAGGTTTCCCAGGACCACATCCAGGCAGGTTTTGAATAGCTCCAGAAAAGGAGACTCAAAAACATCTCCAGGCAGGCTGTTCCAGTACTCTGCTACCCTCATAGTAAAATAAGTTCTTCCTTAGGTTCATATGGAACTTCCTATTTGTAACTATTGCCCCTTGTTGTGTTGCTGGGCACCACTGAGAAGAGTCTGGCCCATCCTCTTGACTGGCCTTTAGATATTTATAGATATTTACCACCTCTGTGGACAACCAGTACCCACAAGTCCTTCTCCACAGGGCTGCTTTCAATCCCTTCCTCACCCAGCCTGTATTGATACCGGAGATAGCCCCAACTCATGTGCAGGACAGTTCCCTCTGGATGGCATCCCATTCCTCAGGCACGTCTACCACACCACTCAGCTTCATGTCATCTGCAGACTTCCTGAGGGTGCAGTAGATCCCACTGTCTGCATCAGTGATGAAGAACAGTACTGTAATGCTACCACTTACAATGAAATGTCAATGGCCATAATAGCTTTTCAGTATATGTTCAGTTTAAAGGAGAACAAGTCAAATGCATTTAAACCCCAATAAGAATCTCCCAAAATATGCTTGTCGGATGAAGGCAAACATGGCCTCACGCCTCCTCCCACTTCACAGCAGTTGCGTATTGTGAACATTGTGGGTGTTCACTTCAACATGATTAGGTTCACAGAGTGGCAGAGAGAAGGGAAGGATACTCTGCAGTAATCTAAACTCGTTGTGCTAGCAATGTTTTTGACAGATAAATTGGCAATAATCTGAATATTTTTGTCGCAAATAATGAATCTTGCATCTGAAACTGTGTTACAGAAAACAGTAACTCCTCTGTGGGCCAGCTCTCCATCTGCTATAATTTGGCATAGCTCATCTGGCTATTATTCATCAGATGTTATAGGGTATTTGCATTTAGAAAATGGTATTACAAAAAGAAAATGTAAATGAAATATCAGAAAAAAAAAATTAAGGTAAGAAATTTTAAATTAAGGTGTTCTTCTAAAGCTGACCTGGATAATACTGGACAATTCTGTAATGCATCGAACAGATTAAATTTTCTTGATATTTGTTTGCTGACATTGGTTGTTTTGTTAGTGTTACACCTTTTCCATCCTTGACTTTATTAGCTACCTACTAGTTTCAGATATACAAGTCTATACATACTAGAAGGTACTGTGAAATTTTTACTTAATGAGGTAAAATTTGTCATGGAAGATGATTTTGGACACAGCTTACTTTAAGCTGCAAACCAATAGAGGCTACTGCAAGTTTGAGGCTACCCAAAGAGAAGCACTTTGGTTTGGCTTATTTTCATATCCAAAATCACGAAAGAATTATTTTGTCTTGCTGCTAACATACAGTCACTCTTGCCAGAAGACATACACAACCTTTTGGTTCAAGACAGTATCGTTAAAGAGCCCCTCAGCATGGTTTTGTCATTTTTAAATGAAGACAACTTTCCTAAAATGTTTTGACAACATCAGATCAAAACTCCAAATTAAATGGTAGACTTAAACTCATATTTACCATGAAAAATCTCAGCCTGTGTCTACGTAAAGTCAAGACCTTTCTAATTTATTATTTTTTACAGAATAATCTTTTTCTAATTTGGATTAATTTTGTTTACTGTATTTTGTACTTTTTGAAGTTCTTCTTGTTGCACCTAAGGTTCTCAATCAACCAGTTTGGTATAAGGAGGTGAAGTTATATCATTGTTATTACTGAGTACTGTTCCGAATATGATCTGACAAATTGGTTTCTCATTAATTTTTCTCACAGGATAAAAAATTTAAAGTTTTCAAGATGTGTCTGGATTCAGAATCTAATCCTTTGCCAATGAGAAAAAAAAAATCTTCAGATCATATGGCTGGATCAGGCTACCTATATAAATATATATAATACCTGTTGAGAAAAGGTGAAACATAAAGGGATTATATGCAGATATAGTCATCAATTTACTAGTTTTAGAAGAGTTGGGTTTCCTAGTTTTGATCAAAATGTCATCATTAATCAAGATTTCTAAAATGACTAGACTAAAATCTGACACTTTAACATTAATTTTGAAAGTTCCTGAGAGTTTGGGGATTTTTTTGCTAATTTAATGCAAATTGATGTGATATTTAGAATGTGATAATTCTAATAAAGCTAGTCATATAGGACATGGAATAAGTATTGTGGGTTTTGACCACTTGCACATGGCCAACTAAAAACCTTTTCTTAATTGAGCTGTTATCTAGTGGGTTAAAACCTTCCCTGAATGAAGCTTGACATTTTCTGTCAGGTATGATTTCTCAGAAGTTAGCTAACAAACTTTTTACTTCACTATAGCATCTGAAATTACAATTTTCCTTACTCTTAATGAAGTGCAATAGAACTTACCTACATGCAGAATTCCCCTTGATCTTACTGATAATTTTATGGTAATATGCCAGGGAACTGAACATCCTTACAAACTCTTGCAATTGAATTTCATCTCAGGAAATGTTATTCTGATTCCTACAAGAAAAGGGCTTTATTTTTAGAAACTGGGCAGGTGATACGTGCCTTCAGGGCAAAGGAAACCTACATACAAGAAGTTTTTTCCACAGTGATAAAAAAAAAGTGAAGACAGACTACAAAAATTTATTTCTTCTCTAATGTTGTGAATCATTACCAATAATACACTGAGACATTCTACACTGTTTCACCCTCCAGACACCCTTCAAACAGGCAGGGATGCAGAAACAGTTATGTGATAGGGAGTGTGATACTCAGTCTGGGTACTAAGTCTTTGAATTTTTATTAGGTGCCTAGAATTACTACAGTTCTCATGCTACATTGTTGTTCTCCCAGAGTCTAATTTAAACCTGTGCAGCTGCTTTTATTTAAGCAGAAATAAAGTAACTGAAGTTTACTTTCCAGTAATTTTCCATATATAAAGAACTGGTGTAGCATTGCATGTATGGAATTGTCTTACCAGTACATCCTTTGCTATAATATATTATAGAGTTTTCTGAAAATTCAACTTCAATTGTTGCTGAAAAGGGAATGCATAAAGTATATAAGCTCATATGGATATTGTATATTAATTTTCCATACATTGGATAAAATTTAAGGTAGATAAAAATGCATCTTCTATGATTCTTTATATTAGTTTTATGAAATATTTCTATATAAAAATGTTGGTGTTTGTAATTTATTGTGTACTTTGAAGGTGTTTGAAGTTTGTTGGGTGCACATTTTTAAAATAGAGTGATGCATGTATTGCTGTGTATGCTGAAACAGTGAATATGTTCATATAAGAAGCAGATCTCTTTTGCTTATGTGGTCTTGGAATTTTTGAAGAGGATCATCAAGTACATGTGCTGCCATGTTTCCACTACAATTAAACCAAGTGAAACAATTTTAAGATAATAGCCTCAATTTATGATGATGACACAGTAAGAAATTATTGCATTCATTCCTATATTTTCAAAGAAAGATTAATTTTGATTGCTTCAAGTTTTGAGAGTTGCCTTGAAACATGAAGTATATGCCTGACTTTGACAAAGACTAGTCTCCTGAAAATCAGGGCTATTAAACATATCTCAAGTTGGTCACCAAAGATACAACTAAATTTTTAAAAGGGAAGACATCTTTCTTAAAGGAATGAAAGAAAATAAAATGTGGTAGTGCGATTAGTTTAAAGATGAGAGAAAAAAGTTCGAAGTTAAATATATTTTAGAGAAAATATACTTTAAGAATTGAAATTAACTACATTTTATAAAGGATTTATTTGTCAGTGCTAAGAATTACTTATGCACCGATTTCCTTCATGTTGGCAACATAATTCCCTTTTAACATATTGCTCTTACTTATTTTTAAATCCTTCTGTTACTTGTGTGTCTGTTTCTGGTTAAAATCTGTTTGGTTTGTTGCAGTACATGGCGTTTGGGAGGAATGGTCACCTTGGAGTTTGTGTTCATTCACATGTGGTCGAGGCCAAAGAACTAGGACAAGGTCATGTATACCTCCCCAGTATGGGGGAAGATCATGTGACGGACCTGAAACACAACACAAACCTTGCAATATTGCACTCTGTCCTGGTGAGCTCATACTGCAACTCTCTGCTTTGTTACGGTGCATTTGATGTGGGTTCTTTGTGATTTCTTTTATTGCCCTTTGCACACAGAAAAAAAGAAATGTTATGCAAAGTGAGTAGACAGGGTAATATTGCTCATAATTCTGACTGTAGTGATTAAAGGACATAAGCAGGATGGTAACTCTGAGATACTAGAGCAGACAATACTTAGTTTCTCGAAGATACTCATTCTGTAGGACATGGTATGCTGTGTAGGAAATCTTGGTTCAGGATGTGTCTTGGAGAACCAAAAGCTAAACAACCTTCTGAGTGTGGATCAGGTGGAGAGATTCAAGGTTACACAGTTCGTGTTCACCATATCTGTTTGAATTATGTTTACTTAGAGGTTCACTGCAATCATCCATTCATCATACAACAAACATTTGGGAACATGTAAAATTTTAATTATTGGTTTATTAAAAATGGATATTATTTACATCTCTGCAGAGAGCAAGGCTGATACAAGCTAGAGCATTATCTGAATCCCAGTTAAGCCCTTATGGTAAAGATTTTAAGTGGCTCATTTCTTGGAGTTAGTTGCTGAACCACTTTCAAAAAAATATCCCGTAAGTTCCATAGAAAATCATCCATCCACTGAAGCTGAAGCTTACTTAAAAAATAAATTATTCTTTCAAAATTAATTTTAATTTTTTTTTGTCCATAGTTTATGACTTGATTTTGCGTAGAAATTTCAATATATGTGTATATCTAAGTGTATAATACCTAATCTACCTAAATATACCTATATATGTACCTAAATATACACATACACAGATAATACCTAGGTACTAAATACTACATATTAAAAATATAGTATGTAATAGCTATTACAATAGGTTCAATAACCATAAAGAATATTATCTATATTAAAATAATAATTTATGGTTATTGAAGTCATTGTAATACTTAGATATTGAAAAGGTGTCAAGTAGCTGTAAGGTGGGAAATTTCCTTCATGATTCTGTCTTATAGTGTGAAGCCCCTTGCAGTGGGCTTGTTAGTTCACAGCAATGCTGCAAACAGGTTCTTCTAGACTGGAGCTCTTTGTGAAAAGAGCTGATGGGCATTTCATTAGCAAATGGCTGTTTGATGATTTGAAACCAGAGATGAAGGGAAAAAAATAGAACTTACTGCCTCATGGAATTATAATTTAATTTCTTAGATTTTTTATGAAACCTGAACCTTGTTTTTCTTCTAGCCAGCCAAGCAAACTCTAACTTTAGGACAAAATTTGTGGAAAAGTTTTAGTGTCAAATAAAACTTGGAAAGTTTTGAATGAATCCAGTTTTTGGCCAATTTGGTAGCTGTGCAATTTTACATGTGCCTACACAGAAGTAATTAGCATGATACATGAACATGAAGCTGAGTTGACAACAAGAGAAATGACAAATAAAAATAGCAGGGAAGAAAATCATGCATTCATTTCATGTCAGTATTGCAAAGAAACACAGAAGATATTACACCTAATCTGTCAAAATAGCAATTATTTAAGAATTCTCGATTTTGAACAATCATTTGTCCCTAAATGACTTTCAGCAGAGGAAGTTATATACTGGTTCCTTTTAAAAGGAACAGTTTAAATCTTGGCTGAATGTTCAGATTTGCTGTAATTTGAATGTTCAATTTTATGAGGGAATCTTCTTGTTGAATACTTTAGTCTTTTAGCAGTATTTGTGAAATGGAAAACTCACACACTATTTGCTCCTACAGATAAAGAAGAGAGATGTATGAAATATATATGAGAAGCCACAGAATGAGTTTTCTCCAAAGACACTATAATAATTGATTCGATCTTTCCAACCCTAAATAATGCTATATAGCAATGAATAAAACTGAAGAGGCTGCATTGAAATGTAATTTCCATAATGTTTTCCTCTTCACATAAAGCGTTTATGATTAATGAGTGCAACTAGCTTCCATGTTTGGAAAGATTTCCATTTTCTGCTGAATAAATTATCAGGTTGCAGCTTCATAGCTTGAGAGGCATCTGCATTGAGAAGTAGTTCACAACCAGGCATCACATAGAATATTTAATATCGAACTTTAGGAAAAAGCCTCAGAAACTCTCTTCCTTTAATTCACTGGTTGCTGAGATCCTGGGCATTAGAGATATGGGTAATATCTTTGAACTGTTAGTAATGTTCTATGATCACTGTCAGAAAACAGTAAAATAATTCACTTCCATATTTCACTGAACAGTGTCGCACCTATACACAGTATATTAAATCACTAACTTCTGCTTCCGATTTTAATTTTTAACACTGTCAACCTAGAAAGCTGCTGTTCCACCCCTCTTTTAGAAGAATCCTGAAGTTAGGAGTTGTCAAGTGTGCCAAGTCAAGTGACTTGTTTTCAGCAGTGGCACTTTTATAGCAATAACAGCTATAAAACCAGGTTTTCAAGGACAAATATTAATCAAAAGTGTATTGCAACCTACATCTTGAGTTTATATTAGGCAGCTGGAGGTGCAATGAGGAACTAATGATTGTTGAAGTCTATATTAGTGCAGGATTCTGAATTAGCACAATCAGTGATAACATTCATCATGCATTTAAAAAATACTGCCTAGACGTATTATCTATTATAGATTGTGTAATTTTTCAATTGTATGGGAACTTAATTGATTTATATTTTCATTATTCTGGTTTTTAATATTTTCATTTAGCTCAAGAAGCTTCCTGGCACATGGAATTTAAAATAACAGTCCTGAACCTTTACTCATGGGAATATTTGACCAAATTCAAATATATGGGCCAATGCAAAATACTAAATACAGAGCTGGTTACCATATCTATATTATTTTAAAATTCAACATGACAAAATCAGAAAAAGATTATACAATATGCAAACACCAAGGCAGACCTGAGGAGGAGGGCAGGCCATGTCTTTCCTCCTACATTTTATATCAAAAGAATGTTGAAGAACGGGGATTGTTTGCCTTACAGGAAGAATGAACTATAAAAGTATATTCTGCATTATAAGTATAGAAAACAGAGACTGTATGTGAGGCAAAGTGGTATCTCCTGTTTTCCTTTTCCTATTCAAATTGAGATACCTAATTTGAAGTCAGGACCAATAATCTTGCAAGCTGACCCATCTGAGTGATTACCACAAATGTAATAAATCACTTTGAAGGGCTCAGGGTTTACAAGATGCAAGACTGGCCCCCATATTTGCTGAAAAAGACAAGACCAGTCTTTTTCATGAGGCCTCTTTTTTTTTATGAGGCCTTTCAAACTGTATGCTATGTGAACAAATCATAATTTATCATTTGTTATATCCATATACAACCAAAGGAGATGAAATGAAATGTTCTTTACTTGAAGGAAAAGGAAAAGAGTTTTACATTATTTTAAAATAAGTCATAATGACAGATTATTTGATTGCTGTAAGAAATCAAGTGACTTCACTTGACTGACCCCCGAATCTAGCAGGAAGCCGCGGGGTCCTGCCTGGCTTAGGTGGTAACTGCTCTGTCCATCTCTTTTGTGGCTGCGGCGGCAGTGGACGGACAGTGGCAGGAGTGGAGCTCATGGAGCCAGTGCTCGGTGACCTGCTCCAACGGCACCCAGCAGCGGAGCCGGCAGTGCACGGCCGCGGCCCACGGCGGCTCCGAGTGCAGAGGCCCCTGGGCCGAGAGCAGGGAGTGCTCTAACCCCGAGTGCACCGGTGAGTACCGACGGGCGCCCCGCCTCTCCTCAGCAGGCAGGTCCTGCCGCAGCAGGGTGAAGCCAGCCTTCCAGGGTGGGTGAAGTACGTTGACACCTGCTTTTAAGCCTCAATTGCACTGTAAGAGCATGTAAACATCTAGCTCCTAAAATACTACATGCAAAAATGTTTTTACTTAGTTTGTTAAAGGGTACTTGCACACGTTGTAAATGTGTAAATGTGTATCGTTACCATACAACAGCACTATACAAGTATATTAAAAAAAAACAAACAATGCTAAAAGGGGCAACGTCTGTTTCGCAGTCTAAGTGCAAGTTAATATGTGCCAGTTCCTTTTATCTTGAGATGCACGTTATTTAGGAGGAGCCAAGTAGAGAATTCCCCATCTTCCATCTGCCTACATCTACCACTTGTTAGTTATATCTAGGGGGCTTATTTCCCTTACTCGAGAATAATTTATATATCTTCCTTATTGACTGTTATTATTTCACCACTATAAATCTATTTTTCCAAACAGCAAATGGCCAGTGGAACCAGTGGGGACACTGGAGTGGCTGCTCCAAATCCTGCGATGGTGGCTGGGAGAGGCGGATAAGGATCTGCCAAGGTGCTGCTGTGACAGGGCAACAGTGTGAAGGAACCGGAGAGGAAGTTAGACGCTGCAGTGAACAAAGGTGTCCTGGTAAGATGCAATGATGATCACTGTTATAATCTACACTAGAGTATGGCTTACTTTAATGGTCATCTTCAGGAGAGACAAGATCAACATCCCTAGAGAAAAAGCCATAAAACGTGACTTGTTTTACAGAAGTCACTGCTGTTTTTCTCAACAGAGTTGTGTTTATGTAGATGGGTGTAAACTAGCCCTATTGGATATAGGAGCAATGCATCATGTTTTAAATAAATCAAAATATCATAGTAAAGAAAGACATCAGAAAAATATTTTATTGCTTAGGTGTGCCTATATTATTCGGAGCAGTGATGACTTGCTACAGAAATTCTCTTTGAATGCACTCTTTCTCAGAATATTAGGACTGGTTTTGTAAATCACAGCATTCCTTTAATCCAGTGCACAAAAGATGTCTTTGTAATACATTTGGAGTAAATTTCAGTGCAGTGAAGATAAGGGGAAAAGCTTACTGCATTGTATAGGAAGAATGAATACATAAAGAATGTTTTAGTAAGAGGACATTAATTTGAAATGAAAAAGGCACATCTTATCTGTTTTAAAATAACACTTAAATGTATTTCTTTGCAGCATTTTTTACTTGGCCCTCGCAACAGACTTAAGTCTTTCCCACCGAAAGCTAATAAAAATTTACTTTTAAGTTTCTCCAAAAGTGACGAAAACCAAGAACATCTGGTGAATCTAATCATATTTATCTGTAAAGACTCATCCTAAAGTAAAAGAATGCATTGTTGGATGGGTGTAAAATAATCCAGTGCAAGTAGTGTAGGTTGTCTTAGCCATTCACTTGGGAAATTACGTGTTCTGAACTGCAAGCTGGGAAGCAGAAGAGTTAATCTAGTAATCTCTTTGTCTTCTGGACATTTTGATGGCTATGTTCTCTGATAATCAGAGAAAGGATTTAAATGGCACAGATACTTTGGGTCAGGAAACGGGAAATAGACATGAATTTTATGTTATCAAGGCCACATTTTCATAGGCAGCATTTTTATATCTTGATAGCCATCGAAGAACAGTTTTCAAGTTATTTGCAGTACAGTAGAAAAATGAATCTCATTGCATTCAAAAAGACTATTTGCAGCTATCGCGTTACAGTACTATGATGGCAAGCTAACCAAATTTCACTAGCCTATCAAAATTCGTCTTTAATTTTAATAAAACGTTCTTTATTTGAAAAGCAGTACAAAACAGTATTTATACTACATTCCTAAACAAATTATAATTTCCATACTTAATACAGGTTTCCTCTATAAAAGCACAGCACTGAGAAGGTTAATGTGAATCTTCTCTATAGGCAGACAGTCAAATCAACCAGCTTCTGGTTATAAAACCGTTCTTGAAATAATTTACATTTCTATATTTAAAAGTAAAACCATGCTGCTGCAGTCCAATTTTCAAAGGTTGCCACCTGCTGTTAATAAAATATTTTACAGATCTATTTACAAGTCAAATGCACACAGAGCTTTATTTGCCATTTGGTAAATTTATTTATTTACTTGATTAATTCCAGATTAGAACCAGTATAGAGAAACCAAAACCTAAAGCACCTTTTAACAAGCTATACTTAGTGCAGAAGTTTATACATGAATAACAGATTTATCTGTTTCTAGACTGACATTCACTAAAGCATCTCAGATTTAAATGTAGACAGTGGATAATTAACGAAAATTTTTTAAAATTATAGACAGATTTACATTTTACAATCATCAAGAAAAATTGAAAAGTACTATACAGAGTTGATTTTTCAAATTATAAGCAAATTTCGTGATTAGTGTGCTTTTCTTCTGTAGCCCTAAAATGGTTCAGAAAAGCTATTTTTGCCTCAGTGGCTTCTTTTTCTGTGTAAGTCATTGAGAAACATGAGAGACTAAAATATTATTTTTTTTTCTTATACTAGCATTGCTTTGCCATTAGTGTAACACCAGATACTCAGCTCTATAGATCTGCATAACTTATTTGTAATGTGGATGAAGCTGCAGCTGTTTGTATCACCCAGAGGTCTATAGATGCCCAGAAAGTTTATAGCTGACTTTAAACTTTGGAAGCAAAAGGAGAATAAAATCTTTTTCTGTTATGCTGGGTGATGTTAATAAGATGCTTTGCAAACAGAACTGTTTACTTGAGTGACTGAAGATCTTGACCAGACTTTTTGTGGTTTGAGTTCTGCATTATCTGAATATTTTACAAGGTTTTCTTCATATCTAATCATTGATTCTCTCCAAGTGGTTTGGGCAGAGACTGAGTTGCATCAGGCACTCCTACAACCTGAATGTAAACAGCATTAAGAAATGCAGGCTCAAAACTATTATCTGAAAGTTGGTTTCTCAAACAGCTTGCTTTCTCAAAAAACATTGAGTATCTTTCTTTGTGATTTATTTGTATTCTTAATTACAAATTCTAAAACTGTGGTTGTTTTCTGCCGTTGTGTAATGACCTGGGAATGAAAAACAAAGACATGAAGTTATTTTGGCTACAGTAATTGCTCCTTTGCTGTATCCCAAATGTCTAATTTTAGATTTCACTCCTAGTAGGTCAGTGCTAAGGATTTAGTACTCTGCACTCAAAATAGCCTTTCGTGAAGGATAACTTCAGAAAATTGGAAACAAATCAGAGAAAGGAAAAAGCCTACTATATTGGCTAGGCAGCTAGTCACACAGGAATCACTGTTGAAAACTTACACAGGATAAACAAACAATAGGCTTGTCCCACAGAAATAAAGGAGACAGCTAGGTAACAAAAGAAATTGCAACCCATGACTGATAAAGTGTTACAGGGCAAGCTGATTAGAAACTTTTAGAGAGACGTGTAAGAGAACAAAGGTAAGTCACATCAAACGTGTCAGTAAAAACTGAGAGTTGTGAGAACTGAGAACAAAGTACAGTATTATTCAGGAGAGAAGACTTCCATAAATATGTTTTTATAAAAATAAAACAAGTTTTTATAACAGTTTTAAGAACACATTAGGTCCCAATACCATAGCATTGATTTCCATATGTATTTAATTCCATAATAGTGAATTCTATAATAATGCAATACATGTTCCAATATTCATGCTTTACCCAGATTTTATTCAAAGGACATCCTCAATACTTTTCTCACAAGCCTATTGTCAACAGCAGAAAACATATAGGATTTTTTTTTGTGAAAATATTACTGCAAACAATGATAGTCTACTTTGTTAACAAAAAGATAGCAGTGCACAACTGCTGCTGAAGACTAGCTAATGATTTCCTACTGAAGATAATTTTCTTCAGAGGCAATACTAGCTACATAAGATAGAATATGAGAAGGAGGAAGATTAAAGTAATTGTCAACAACTAAATTAAACATTTGAGTTTTGTCTCTGCAAAACTATTCTACAAGACATTCTAACACTTTTTTCTATTGCCTTTGTTTAAGATAATTTTGCCTCTGACATCAAATTAGAATTCAGAAGAGAAGCTGTTCTAGCTTCCTTTGTGAGCTGTGGGTGTGCTGTTGGCTAACTTGCTTCACCCTTTCATTACCTTTTCCCATACTTGTTAGCTGCCAAGGTAGATCATAAACTCTGTGAGGTTGTGCGTGTCTCTTCCTGTGTCTGTGTATTGTACAGAGCTTCCTCAGATCCCCTGTGGGTTGATTGCCTCTTGGAGATGCATGTGTTCTCACCTGTAATGTCAGAGAAAGACCTTGCTCCTAGATTACTGACTTTGTTGGGTCTTTGCACTTTGAATTCATACCTATCATTACAGGGGGATAATGTGGTAAATTTGAGTGCAAGCTCTGTGTGGGAAGATATTGCTGAATCATACTGTCAGTAAAGAAAGATCAGTTTTTATTTGCCAATTTTAGCAAATTTACCTTTGGCAAATTTTACTGCTTGTTTCTAAATTTCAGCAACTCTCTATGATTTTGCTCCGCAAACTCGCATTCATCTGTGGGTGTGTTATGAATTAATTGTGCCATAGTTACAGAAACACTTGAACTGGTCCTAGCAGAGCCAGCAGGGCCAGTGCAGCTTTTTAATTCTGATACAAGACCACTCTGGTGCAACTGTAATGTCTCCATTGGCAACATGGGTTGGAGCCTCACAGATGCTTTAATGTGGGTGGATGCCTGATTAGTAAGCTCTGCCAAATATACTTTAGCTTTGGGAAGAACCAGTTTGGTTTCTATGCACAGTATTCCTTGATCCAAGGTATTTATGCAAAGCATTGAAAGGCAC